TCTCTGCTAAGCTGCCTGTCCACTGTTGGCTCAGGCTTGCTCAGATCCATGATGTTCTGGTCTTCACCCCTAACAAATCCTCCGGAGTCTGGCCTCCACTTCGGTGCATTCTCCAGGACTGTCACTCTGCTTACCACTCCCTCAGCAGATTCTGTCTTCTTCTTTTCTCTCTCCTAAAATCATACTCTCCACTCCCCAAACACACAGGCTTACTTTATATGGATTTCCCCCAGCGTTTTACTAAATGTGGAACAGTCAAAAATATTCTCAGGGCACGTCTTCTCCAACCTGCCTGTTAGGTTAGAAGCAGAGAAGAGTCAGCTGGAAAGCCGTCTGCCACCAGCTATTGATAAGCATTTCTTGCCTCCGCCTCAGTGGAGCCCCAAACAGAGCTCTGCCTCCAGTGCGGTGGCAGGGTGGGGAGGAGCAGGACTGACAGGTTCCTGCTCAGAGATCCTTCCAGATCTGTACATCTGGAACGTGCTGTGCGGATTTTCAGTGCATCTGGTACTTAGCAACTATACATGTTTGGGGGATGTGGTTTATGCAGAAAGTAGGAGAACCTAGAGAGATTTCTCTTTGCACGTTTGAAGGGCAGGCCAGGTGCTCTGAATCTACAAAGGCGGAACTGAAGTCATAAACCTTAAAGAGAAGCTAAGGGGTATATTGTTATGCCTGGATATTTTTGGACAAACTGTGAAGTCTGTTGCCCACAAAAGCACATTCTAAATCACACCCAGAAAATGTGGCAGCAGGGTGGTAGGTATTTTTCAGGAGCGGGCGGATGCTTTCTCTTCCAACTTGTAAGTCAAAGCTCTCCAAGTCCCTTGTTATTGGTACTAGTTGCAATGATATTCTGCACTGACCCTCAGACCTCATGCCCATCGTCCCATCAGGACTATAGGTCAAGAGTCTTACAATCAAATAGCGAGCTTCTGGGTTTTTGTTCTACATCTAGCACAGAATTGGCGGGGTTGGAATTGGGTCAGGAGAAGTGCAGTGCACGTTTCTAGAGATGAGAATGAGCATTATAACATTTAAGTTAATAAAAGCCCTTGGGGAGGGCGGAGAAAAAGTCAGAGCTGGTAATTGATTCCTGGCGATGTACGGTAGATCAGGAGAAAACGTACCTGCTACTGCGATAGTATTCCAGAAGGTAAACTATTATTTAGTATTTAGGATCTACCCCATGCTAGAAGTGGAGGATATAAAAGTAAGTAAGTGTGTTCCCTGCTTTCAAGGAACCCCCAACTATTGAGTCAGACAAATACGCTACAGCGTGACAGCTGCTGGCCCGGAGGGGTGTGGCACGTGCTATGGGAGGACAGAGCAAGGAACAATGCATTCTTCCTGGGAGTGGGAGAGTGGGGCAGGGCAGTGGAAGCAACAGGGCATGCAAGAGTACAGGCTGAGATGGAAATGCGGATCTGAACTCAGGAGAGACTCAGACCGGAGCTATGATTACAGAGAGTGTCACTGAAGCCTGGAAAGTGAATGCTGTCTCCCAGAATGGACAGAGACAGGGACAGTTGAGGACAGAACTCTGGGAGCACCACTCTCTCAGTGGTGTAAGGAGAGAGAAAAAGCACTGTCCGAGAAGGAAAGAAGATGAGCAGGTGGAGGTAGTCAGGGTGTTGGACACTGTGGGGAGGTTGAGGATTCTGTAACGGGAGATCCTTGTTGCCAGTATTGAGGGAGCATTTTCAGTGGGTGTCAGTGGGAACCAGCTTACACTGTTTTGAGGCTGCAAAGAAGGTGAAGAATCTAAAACTATTCTTTCAAGATGTTTGGAGGCAGGGTTAAAGGGGGACACCAGAGCATGCTGGGAGGAAGGATCTAGTGAACAAGAAGAGATTGAAGTTGGAGGGAGGAAGCCACTGGTATACAAGGAAGCAAGAGGGATGAATTAAGAACAAGGAGGATTTCTTCTTCAGAAAAATAAGCAGTTATCATTGACTGTAATTTTACTTCTATTGGTGTGGTTCTTATCACTAGTTCTCTCTTTTTTTCCCCATCTAAACCCCCACATCCGTCCTGTTTGGCAACCATCAGCTTGCTCTCTGTATCTGTGGTTCTGTTTCTGTTTTATTTATTAATTTGTTATATATATATTAACATAAAAACATTCAAACCTGTAAAAAATTTTTGTGAGTTTATTTGAGCCAAACTGTCAACAATTGCCGGGAAGCAGTATCTCAATGGATTGGGATAATGCTCCCGAGAATGGTTTTTTCATCTATTTTTATACATTACAATCAAAAGAGGGATGTAGGTGGGTTACATGAAATCCATTGGTGATAGGTTAGAGAGCGGGAGAAAGCAAAGCAGAGAGACCTCTGGGAGTGGATTAAAAGTAAAATGATAGACACATACTTAGGTGGGTACAGGAACAATTAACATGATAACAATGAAGGAATTTGTGGTATCTGTCCTGGCACGCAGGCACATCAGGTTGTGCCCCACAGGGTCCGGAAAAAGGGACCTTACAAGTTACCCAGACATTTCGAGGATGTGTTATTATAGATGCAAAATGACAGATAGGCTCGGTTAAGGTAAAGGTTGACCTTGTCAGGAAAGATACTGGCCTAGGATGTAACTACCCACCATAACTGCTTTTAGTTAAAGTTTAATTTCAGACCATCCTTTGTGGTTATTTTAGGTCTCTGAGTTTGCAAGATTGCCATGCAGGCCTTCCCTGAGCTTGTCAGGTTAGCATGTAGCCCCTTTCATATATATATGGGTTTCCCCCAGCGTTCATTTGGTTGAACTCAAAATTCATGCACATCAAAAGGGAATTAATTAGAGGAAATATTTTAATATTTCTATTTGCCCTTTCTCTATAATAGAAGTGTCAGAGATGAAAGAAAATTAGTAAAATGTATATGAAAATCTTCCTCCTGTCAGAGTCTGGGTCGTGCCACAGGAACCAGAGTCAAGTCCCCACCCACCCACGTGCACCTCGAAATTGCACGAGACCCAGACCCAGTCAGTCCCACCCCCGTTGGGCTAGCCCAGGGGTGGGCAAACTTTTTGACTCGAGGGCCACAATGGGTTCTTAAGCTGGACCGGAGGGCTGGAACAAAAGCATGGATGGAGTGTTTGTGTGAACTAATATAAATTCAAAGTAAACACCATTACATAAAAGGGTACGATCTTTTTTTTTTTTTTTTTTAGTTTTATTCATTTCAAATGGGCCGGATCCGGCCCGTGGGCTGTAGTTTGCCCACGGCTGGGCTAGACCCAGAACCGGCCAGCCCCACCCCTGTCAAGCCCCACTGAGTGGGGAGCGTGGCCCCACTGGGTGGGAAGGTTGCCTGACCCAGTGCCAGGGCCGGGGGCACGGCCTGAAGTCCCCCAGCCTGGGCCGGGGGGTGCACCTTGAGGTTCCCTAGCCTGGGCCATGGGGTGCAGCCTGAGGTCCCCTGTCAAGCTACGCCGGGCGGGGACACGGCCTGAGGTCCCCCATCAAGCCCCACTGGATGGGGGGTGTGGCCTCAGGTCCCATGGCCCAGTACCAGGGCAGGGGGCCCAGCCTGAGGTGCCCTGTTATGGATGGGGGGTGTGGCCTCAGGTCCCGTGGCCTGGTGCCAGGGCAGGGGGCACAGATCCCTGCTGATTGCTTGTTAAGGCTCATTGTCGGCCTCCGCTGTCGGCACAGCCATCTTGTGCTCATTGTCGGCCTCCGCTGTGGGCACAGCCATCTTGTGTTATGGAATCCCTGCCTCCGCTGTGGGTGCAGCCATCTTGACCATTACTGCGTGATGGTCAATTTGCATATCCCCTCTTTACTAGATAAGATTTTATATATATATTTTAGATTCCGCATATCAATGAAATCACACGGTAATTCATCTTTCTCTGTCTTATTTCACTTAGCATAATACTCTCTAGGTCCATCCATGTTGTCACAAATGGCAAGATTTCATCCTTATTTATTGCTGAGTGATAATCCATTATATCTCACATCTTCACTATCTATTCATCTATTAATGGACACCTAGGTTGCTTCCATCTTGACTATTGTAAATAATGATGCAAGGAACATAGGGGGATATCAGCTTTTAAAATTAGTGTTTTATTTTTTATAAATACCCAGAGGTGGATTTGCTGACTCATATGGTAGCCATATTTTTAATTTTTTGAGGAGTCTCCATACTGTTCACAAGGCTCTATTTTTTTTGTCACTATTTTATCCCCAGTGCCCAGTAAAACATCAGACACTGAATAAATACATGCTGAATGGCATTTTTTTTCTTAGACGTAAAAAAGAATCACTAGGGCCAATGTTCTTGCTATCAGGAGATGGAGATCTTGTGGCGATCACATTTAAAATTCTATAAAATCTATACCTGAATTTTCACTTTTAAAGGCAAAGAAAGGGAAGGAAACAGTCATTTCCTTTAGAATTACACACTAAAAGTCACTTGACTGAGGATGTCCAAAGCTCAGTAGTTAATGATGGATGTGGTACTATATAATTTCCTCTTCTTTCAAGAACTAACACTAAGATAAACACAGAGTAATTAGCTCTGTTTTCTAGCATTTCTCTAGTGGACGAAACTTTCTAAAATAAATATGTTTAAGGGTGTCTGACGTTTTCAAATGTGTGATCAGGTCTGGGGGAAAACAGATCCTTCTACTTGTGTCTTTTTTCCTCCTTGGGATGAAAAACATTTTTAAATGTTTTCCTTTGCTCCAGCCTGTGAAGAAACAAAATTACATAGCTGTTTGCCAAAAACCACAATCGTGACGACTACATCATCATATTTACCTCTTTATAATTAAGATGAGGTTGATATGAAAAAATATTTTTATTCCTTTAATGATATCATATTATTATTAGATTCTGTATTATTCCTTCCGCTCTTTCTCACCTGATTATCTACTTTTTCTGAAGAGTAGACACTTTTCCACATCAACACTCTCCAGGTTACCGAGTTCTCGACAACTCTCTCTACCCGCATCACTCCTCGGTCCTCACCACCTCTTTGTATTTTCAGCTGTCAGTGAACTCTGGGGCAGGAATCAACCCACCACCCAAGACACAGAACAGGTGCCAGGGTCTCAGATTCCCCATTTCTAGAAGAGACAGACCCCCTGTTCTTCACGAAGATGGTGAGGGTTGAGTGCTAACTCCTTAATTCTCTCAAAACTGGCTTGAAATTCTTAGGGGGAAAGTCTGGGTAAGGAAAACCCAGCAAGGTTTTGACTCAGAGGTCAGTTGGCCTTATAGAAGCCCCCAGTGTGGGTCCCCTCAAAGCTGGAAAGGAAGCAGATTTCAAAGAAATAGGTCCCTCTGACCATTGCTCCCTAAAACCAAAATCTTGTAAATATGTTAATGCTTTGGGTTAGGTCCTTTTGGCTGTTTCTTTAAAAGAGGGTACTGGCAGTTCCTCATATTATCACGATGGAAATCAAATCATGTGCTTCAGTGTTTGGACATCGGGGCACCTTCTATTGCTGGCTCAGTGGTTTAGAGGCGGTTGTCACGTGCCCAAGCCAAAGAGTCTCTTTGGGGAATCCCTTCTTTTCCTGTTGCTACAGGTGAGCGTGTCTAAGCTTTTAGAAATAGGGCGTTCTCACATTTTTCGTGCTTATGGAGAATCATAGAGAGAACTCAAGCCAAGAAGCATGGTTTATTGGATGAGATGGCAGTAAAGGCTCTCACGACCCAGAAGACTTGCTTCAGACACGGACAGAGTCTTGCATCTGGGTGTAGTCCCTTGGGGCAGATCAAAGCTCCAGGCTCAATTTGAAGTCTAAGGGAGATCCCTCTGTGGTTGAATGAAAGCAGTGAACAGTCTGGCATTGATCAAAGCCATAATGAGAGGGAGTTCTGTCTTCTCTGCATCAGGGCCTTGGAGGGGAGCCCTGGGAGGGATTGGGGTGGGAGGGTGGAGTGGCAAGAGATCCAGGCTCCATGTTCATAAAGAGCCTCAGATTTGGACTTCTGTGCTTTCTGTAAACGAAATCATGAATTCAGACACAAGTTGTACTTACAGGAGGAAAAGAAGACAATAGTCATCATGCAATTTTAATTTTAAAAACACAAACTTACAAAACACTGTGATTTGTAGCCCTGGCCTGTGTGGTTCAGTTGGTTGAACGTCGTCCCATGCACCAAAAGTTGCTGGTTCCATTCCCAGGGCACATGCCCAGATTTTAGGTTCTGTCCCCGGTAGGGGTGCATAAGGAAGGCAACTGATTGATCAATGTTTCTTTCTCTCTCAAATCAATAAAAACATTTTAAAAAAATAAAATATATTATGATTTTCAAATCTTTAGCCATTTGTATATTTAAAAAAATATACGAGGAGGCCCAAAAGTGGCCCAGCCAGTGTTGCTCAGTGGTTGAGCATCTACCTATGAACCAGGCAGTCATGGTAATTCCTGGTCAGGGCGCATGCCCAGGTTTTGGGCTCGCTCTCCAGTGGGGGGCATGCAGGAAGCAGCCGATCAATGAGTCTCATCATTGATGTTTCTATTTCTCTCTCTCCCTCTCCGAAATCAATACAAATATATTTTAAAAACAAAAAACAAAAGTGGAATTGACCTGCCTTCTCTCTGTTTTCCTGCTGGCAGAGGGGCATTTAGTATGTGTTGACTGAATAACTACGAACCAGGAAATCTCACTAGCGGGTGCTTATAGAGAGTTTACCAAGAGAAACAGTTCTGTGCCCTTTTCCTGGCAGTCAGATGCCCCCTGTCCACCCCCAGCAGCGTGCTGCCCCGAAGGAACCACAGCCAGCCTCTCCCACCTGTGGTGGGGCTGCCAGAACTGTCTATGGTGGGACCCACACAGATTCTAGCAGCTCCAGCACAAGACTTAGCTTCCTCACAACCCCCACTACTCCCTGAGGGGCTCCACCCAACCACTGAGCACCTTGGGTGGTGGGAGACCATGATGTTTATGGTAAATCTGGAAGACAGCACATGAGGAGAAATAGGAATGGTGCTGGTTTCTCTCTGCATGAGGGGAAACAAATCTTACGACCACATAACTCTCACTTCTCCCTTAGCCGTTCACACACCATCGTCGTCAAGGCTGCACCTCAAGCCTTTCATCTAGAAAGACATTCAGGTGAATGGAAAGACATTCACAGTATCAGCATAATCCACCAGAGAGCATTGGTATGCAGGCTTTTTCAGGTAAACAGTGTAAGGTGCAGACACCAAGAATCACCAGTGAAGACAGACAAACAGCCAGTGACATCTGTGGGGTGATAGAGATCATAATCCCTTTTCAATCCAATCCAACACACAGGTATGTAGGCTAACTCTGAATGAGCCGTGCACTGGGCCCAGGAGGAGAGAGGATTTGCTTCTGATTCTCAGGGACCTTGGAGGCAGTGTGATGTCACTCAGACTTCAGGCTGTGAGTCAGACCAGCCTGCGAAAGTGCTTGGTAGTCAAATTATCACATAATGGACCTGAGGAAATGCAGGAAGCCGCCCATCGTCTTCACCAGCAGAGAAGTGCAAACAAGGATCCCGGAATGCTGGTGAACCTTGAACCCATGGCAAGGGCCAGAGTTATGCACCGATTGTCTAGTCCAGACAATGGGGGCTCAAGCTATTTCCTGATCAAATAGTCTCAGAGTAAATCCTTCTAATATTTACTGACCTTCAAGATAGTCTGTCTGCTACCGCAATTGCCTGCCTACGAGCTAGATGTGTATCCAAGATTGAATAAAAGGTTGGCAAGGCCTGGGCACCAGTGGAAGTCCTTCCCCTTGAGTTGGGCTTGCCCGCCTGGCCCCCAATATTTCCAAATTATTATTCTTGTCTCGTCTCTTTCATTTGTGTGCGGCCCCTCCTCCAGATCCTGAACCCTGAACCCCACGCGGGACGTGGGGGAACGTACACAAGGAAAGGGTGGTTCCTTTTCTTTTCCGCCAGGAGCTTTGCTCTCAGCAGTCCTGTCAAGGAGTGGCCTCCTGCTCCGGAGTCCCAGTTCCTGGCTATGTCCTGGTGCTGTGTTGCCAGAGCTGGCAGGAGCCGGCACCTTCTTGGCCCTCTGCTCGAGTCTGCCCCTTGTATCTCAACAATGTGCTCCTTCTGCTCTCCAGGAGGCTTACCTGTGGCCGGAGCTGAACCTCCTTGATGTTGCCTGCCTGGATTTCTAGGACCCATCTCTGGTCTGGCCTGTACAACACCAACTGCCTCCAGGTTATGTCCGTTTTACTATTGAAATAACCTCTGATGTCCCCAACTCCAGGCAAATCAGTCTTCTTACATCTCACCTTTGCTCGTGTCACACCTACTCAGAAAATACTAATGACTCCCCATGATTTCTAAATTAAGATGAAATCTCAGTCTGAAGATTTAAGTTGGACATAAACTAGCTTAGCCCACTTCTTTGGTTTCATCTTTCTTCCCACTGGTGTGTAAAATACCAGGTTTAGTGGCTCTAGTCTTAGTAGACTAATTGTATTCCTTGAGTATGTCCTGACCTTCTCTTCCTGTGTCCTTTGCTCTTGCTGGATTTTGATGGGATTTCAATGGAGGCAGCTAGAGGAGGCAACACGAACAAAGACATAAGTAGATATGGGAGTGTTGGAGACCAGAGAAGAGAGATGTGTGGTTATTGGATTCTGGGCGTTTATAATCCCAGAATCATAGCTGTTATAGAAGAAACTAAATGGATCATCAGGTCTATCTCTGGTCTTCAGGCTGGGGGAATATTTTTCCCTTTTGATATATTAGACCATTAAGGCCCAGAGAGGTTAAATGACATGAATGGAAATAGTTACCAAAATGGTTAGACAGAAAAATTGGGGTCATTCTGTAGAAAGAAGCCTTTAATGCTAGGTTAAAGAACTTATAGTAAACTCAGTCAATGATGGGGACTATCGAAAGCTTTCACTAAGGTGGTGATATAATTAGAGCTCCGTTGGGCAGTGTTTTCACATTGTGGAATATGATCCATTAGTGGGTTACAAAGTCAATTTCATGGTCATGAATAAAAACAATATCAAAGCACAGTATTGCTTTGTGAGTTTTGTATGTATGTACAGGGTTGGGAAGTAAGATTTATTTCTTATTGTGAGTCATAGCCAAAAAACTCTGTAAACCCCAGCTTTAGGGAAATTAATCTGGTGGCAAATCATAGGCTAAATTAGGAATGCAGAGGAGGAACTTGGAGGCTGAAATTCTAGGATGCTCTTGACCTAGCTCAAGTGGGCAGTAAAGGGGATCTGAATGGGAAGGAGATAGCGTGGGAGGGGAGCGGAGGGGGAGGATCTAAGGGATTCTGTGGGGTAAGAGTCTCAGGATTCGAGGACTCGTTGGATTGTGGGGCCTCAGTGAGAGGGAAGAACCACTCAGGGATGACTAAAAATCACACTCAGGCGCTTGGGAGAATGCTGGTACCCACAGCCAAGTTGGGAGAAGGGGCTGGTTTGAGGACTAGCACAAAAGACTGATGGAAAGGCACACAACACCATCAGGTACTGGGACAGTCAGGTTCCCAGCAGGAAAAAAAATCTACTGAGACGGTTTCAATGCAGAGACCTGAAGGAAGGAAGGATGTCCAGTGGGCAGGCTTGTGGGGACCAACCCGGAATGAGAGGTGCCCAGAGATGAATCACAGTAGGAAGCTTTCCTTCTCAGATTCTTCTGGGCCCCAAGCCAATAGGGCACCATTCCCCAACCCTCTTCTCCTCCCCCCGCCCCCACCTCTGGAACAAGTGCATGACCACTGGTTTGTCATTGCTTCTACTGCTGCCAGTATTTCTACCCTCACCATCAACACAGGCAAATGGTTATTGAACCTTTACCCTGTGCCATGGGCTTTTACATCCATGACCTCATTTAATTATAGTTACCCCATGAGTTGGTCCTATTATTATTCTAACTTCACAGAGAAAAGAAATAAAAACGGGGGGACATTTAACAAGTTGGCCAAGTCCACACGGTTAGTAAGTGGCGATGTTGGAATATGAAGCCAGGCAGTCTGGCTGACCACCATAACCGCTGCTGTGTACTGGTAACTACTGAAAAATAGAAAATAACGAAGGTAGCAAGTCGGGGGGTGGGCAGTTAACCACAGCAAAGCAGAATAAGTCACTGGTGATGTCACACATGGGACCAGACATCTCGTGGTCCCACTTCCCTAATTCCTTCTTAGGTTTTATCTAGAAAGTCATCCTCCCCCACACCCACAGCCTACAGGGTTGGATGCAACAGTCATGCTCTCCAATTTTAGTGGGTGGGGAGTGGAATTAGGCTGCCCTCTTTGCCTGACTGTGAGCTGTGCAGTCTCTTTCAGAACCTCTTCCTCAGTTTCCATTCTGGTTAGACCCTCTGGGTTGCCTCTTGGCCCTTCTACTCAGCAATTGCTTGAGTCTAGTCCAGGTTGGGAACCCTGTGATTTCTCTCGGAGCCTCAGGCTTCTGCACTGAGTTGCCCATTCTGCTTCCACTCTCCTCTCCCGCTTCCCACCATGGAAGTCCTGCCTGTTTCCATGGTCCAGTTCAGTGTGTGTTGCCCAACCAAGTGTTAGGTTGGTTCTATCTTGAGTCCAGCTTCACACAGTCCAAGCAGCTTTCTGAGCCTCCATTTTCCAGCAGCTGAGAGGCCCCAGCTGACATCCCAGGACCCTTCTGCCTTCTACCTGTACCTCCAACAGCCCCTGATGACCACCATCTTGTACATTAATCCACCCCCTCTGGTCCTTGTGTCAGAAGGGCCCGATGTCTAGCTCAACTCACTGAGCTGAGTCCTGTGGGGATTAAGCGAAGTTCCCCAGCTCACCTGCTCATAGCCCTGTGCTCTCTCCAAGCTGCTTTGTGATGAATCACTGCCCTCAGGCCCATGCATTCCTCTTCTTCTCCTCCACCCCCACTTCAAGAAATGACTTCTGAGAATGGTCTCTCTCCTTTTTTTAAAAAAAAGAATACTAAGCCCTGGCTGGTGTGGCTCACTTGGTTGGGTATCATCCTGTTCACTGAAAGTTTGCTGGTTTGATTCCTGGTCAGGACACATGCCCAGGTTTCCTGCGGGATCCTGGGTAGAGGGGGTGCAGGAGGCAGTTGATTGATGTCACACACTCACATCTATGTTTCTCTCTTCTCCCTTCCTCTCTCTCTAAATCAATAAACTGTTCTTTAAAAAAATAGTAAAATTCTTTTTAGATATGTGGAACAAGAATGACAATCCCCAATGCTATTAATACACACACACACACACACACACACACACACACCCCACAATCCAGGCCTACAAGGAAGGTCTCAGGTGGGGCTCTCCTGGTGAAGGTGGCAGAATGGCAACTACTTTGCCATTGTTTCCATTGTGCCCACAAATAGAGGAAGTGCTTCAAACTGGATAGGAAAAGAACAAGGGCGGTCCAGAAAAATGTAAGTCTGAGGTAAATTGCATGTCAGGAAGAGAAAAATTCATTTACTTGCAGGGCATCAAATTTCTATGCCCAAACAAATTATGTCCTAGGATGTGGGTTGCAAACTTTTTAGTATAACTTTTTCAGACAAATCTTATATCAACCCTAATTTTTAACTATTTTAAAAATAATTTATTTTTATACATTTTAAGTTAAAAATTATTTCGTTTATACTTCTAATGAAATTAATCTATGAGGAAAAATTACTATTTTGATGAATACCAAAATTTGCAATAATTAATACAGGTATAACCATTGCAACTTTATATCAAGCTCAGCATTTAATTTACTTCTATTATTTTAGTTGCAAAGAGTAAGCAAATATTTTTTTAAGCTTGCCTTGTCATTTTTTTATAGGCACACCACATTTTATTGCATTTTTCACAGATGTTTTTTATCTTATGTTTCAATTACAGTTGACATACAATATTAGTTTTAGGTATACAACGTAGTAGTTGAATATTTATATAACAGATTGCTCAGATAAGTTTAGTATCCACCTGACACTAGAACATTTTAAAATTTCCAAATCAAATTATTATTAGGACTATTATTTTTTTTTACCTAGATACAAAAGTCAGACCTGAAATACACAGCACTTTCTATAAGCAGTAGAGCTACATAGCAGCTTCCACATGGGCCTGTGACAGCTCACCAAGGCCTGAGAGGAGCATGGACGAAATGCGTGCTTCTGAGCCTTGTGTGGCTGTTGACTGAGCACTGCATTCTTAGAAGTGCAGACCCACAACCTTCCTAACCAATGGTATATGATTAACTAGTCTCTGGTTCTAGAGTCGGACTAGTGAGGGGGAGGGGCGCTAGTGACTTGAAAGGGCACAAGGGAACTAACTTTTGGGAGTGCTGGACATTGTGGCTGTCTTGACAGAGGTGGTGGTTATGTGGGTGTAGTATACTGCATGTGTGAGTAGTCATGGGCTGTATGCTTAGGAACTGTGCATTTTACCATAGGTACATTTATATGTAAGAGTTCTGTTAGGAGCCCTGGCTTGGTAGTTCAGTTGATTAGAGCATCATCTGATATGGCAAGGTTTTTGAGTTCGATCCCTGGTCAGGGCACCTAAGAAGCAACCAATGAATGCATAAATAAGTGGAACAACAAATCTCTCTCTCTCTCTCTCTCTTTCTCTCTCTCTCTCTCTCTCTCCTTTCCTCTCTCTCTCTAAAATCAGTAAAAAAAAATTTTTTTTAAGTTCTGTTAGGGGAGAGAGAGAGAGAGAGAGAGAGAAAGGAGAGCCCAAGAAGCTTTATCTCAAGATTGGCTCAATAATCTGTTAGCACAAGTTTATGTGCCATGGGTTTCCACTGTGTTATAATTTGGTAGCTAACAACTGCATGTTTGTGTTTTTAATTATAATTTTAAAAAAAAACAGTTTTAAATATATTTAAAAATGAAATCCAAGCATATTTAAAATATAAAATTCAAAGAAAATATATTTTAAAAAGACAAAGCAAATATATTTAAAATATGAAATTCAAATCAATTTAAATCTAAATCAAATATGTTTAAAAGATGAAATCCAAATCACTAGTGCCAATCACTCCTGGCACTCTTTGAAAAACCATGGAAATTTAAGAAGTGCTGGATGACCAGAGGTGGTTATAGCACAGGCTGCATGATCCTGTGGAAAGCACATGGACTACTGAATGTACCAACGTGGCTTCAAATCTAACTCACCGGCTCCCTAAGGTCCTCTAGTTAGTACCTTATCAAACACAGCCCCAGTTTCATCATCTGTGAAATGGGAGAATGCCACCTGCCTTAGACTTGTTGGGGGATTAAGTGAGAACATAACTAAAGCGCCCAGCACACCTATAAATGTTAGTTCTCATCTCTTCTGTATCCCACTCTGCAGTAAAATATACTGGATTTAGAGAGGATCTGACTACCTACAGCAAGCCCTACCTTTTGACTTGTTTTTCCAGAGGCAAAGATGAATTTGCATCTCACCATCCACAACCACACCTAGACCTCCTTGCTGCCAATGACACATTTGCAAGACTGTCCGCAAGCCCTGGATGGAAACATTCAACACAAGTGGAGGTACTGGTCAGCCTTATTTTAGAGAGAAAATGACCAGAATGTGAGTGGGCAGATCAGCCAGAGGAGCACGGCAGAAATTTGTCAAAGGACCAGAGCAGCTTCTCTTGACTTCCTGGGTTTCTCCTTCCCTTTCTTCCTGACTCTCCCCAGCCCAACTCAGGAAGCATCTCCCCGTATTTTCACCAAGAGAGTGAAAACAGCATCTCAGTTTATTAAAAGCCAAGGTTGGGATGTCCTGTCGGGGAAGTGGTGTCCACACTGTAGACAGGTGTGGCCATCGCACCAGCGTGTTAGTCTCGGCATTCTTTGCTTCTTGTGGGTTCCCACCATTTGATCTATCAGACGCATTTACTCATAAGGATGAACATTTAGTTTGGGTCTCAGGCCGAGGTGGCCCACTACAGATCATTGCCTAAAAGAAATGGTGCTGAGCTCCGAGGAAAACAAGCCAGGCCTGCCTCTACTAGTCCAGTGAAACTTTAGGTTCCAGCAAACCTGCCTCTCAGATGCTTTTGATCCCTAATAAACTGGGGTGTTGTCTTCCGGTTTCAGAGGTCTGAACCAATTATGCCCTGGAAACAGAGCTCAGTTTCAGAGCACTCCTCTCTGCCTGGGTTCTTGGGCTATGAAGGGCTACATTCTGTCTTGGTAAATTCTGTCCGGCTAGGAGTTCAAGACCAAGAATAAAATTGTTGAACAAAATTGAAAAAAAAAATGGTAGATTGATATTTCACTGCAAATAAAATGTAGAGAGAGCTACAAAAAAAAAAAAAAAGAAGAAGAAGAATTACAGCTGGAGACCAGAGGAGATTTGCCGAGATGGCCCGGGAGGGGTCATTTCCAATCTGAAGCCTTTTTCATGACTAGGACTTCATGCCCTTCCTCTGCCGAGGCCTTCAGACCCCAGAGAGTATTGCCTTTCAAGAGGTCTCTTCCTTTGCTCTCAGGGGTCAGCCCTGGGCTAACCTGTTGAGCTGGGACTGGCCTGAGTCGGAGCTGTGGCTCTGCTCACCTTTTACTTCACTCTTGCAGAGCTGTGAGTGCTTTTGTGAACTGGCCTTGAACAAGGATTTTGGTGGATTTTTAAAAAAAACAAAACAAAACACAACCTCTTTATTTCTTCTTGAGACATAAATGTTCAGTTTGGATGATGCAGATGAGCCAAGGACTAATGACAATGGCTAGCTCTTCCATTTGTTCCAATGAATTCCAATGGAGGAAGAGGACATAGTATCTAGACTGTGTTGGTCTATTAATACTCAGCTTATCAAATCTCCAGCTCGGTACCTCTTGAGCAGGACTGTCCCAGGAAGGCCGGATATGATAACAGTCAAGGATGGAGAGGGCAGACATGGAGACTTCAACACGTATATGCAGCTTAGCCCCTGTCCGCACAGGCTCTCTAAAATTCCCTATTTGGTCAGAGCTGGCTCATCTTGGCTCCTGTTAGGTTAGGTGTCTCAGGAGGCGGCGTAGGAAATAAAGAGAGTCCAGTTAATCAGAAAAGAAAGAAAGGAAAGGCTTTATTCTGCGTCCCCGGGGGCCCACAGACCCCAAAGACAGGGCACGTGGATCCGCACCAACAGGGAGGGGGGCGCTTTTTTATACAGCTGTTCAGTGAGGGCGGGGGAGCATGAGCTGTGGGAGTTCCCGCCACGGGGGTCATCACGGTTTCCAGGTGTCGCCATCTGTCTGGTAGCTGACCTGTTAGGAATTCCAGGGTGGGACCGGTATCTGCGTCACCGTTTACCTGGTGCACTGGCCTGTTACCGATTCTAGGAAGGGCCCAGTATCTACGTCACCATCTGCCTGGCGGAGGCATGCATCAGCTCCTGGACCCCCTTTCGACCTAACAGCTCCACTGTGCCTCGGATTCTGCGTCACGGCTGCTGAGGGAGAGTAGGTTCAGATCGTCTGGAAGCTGGGGGTCACTCCCTTGGCAGCTTGCTGGGCTAAGCAGTACTTACATCTTTTGGTCTTGGGCCTTCGAAGTTCACCACAGTCACAGCTACCCTGACAGTGTCAAGCCCACCAACACGCACCCCACCGTGGGACGGGCTCTTCTGGTAACTTCAGTGCATGAGGGGCTACCACAACACCACGATTTTTTTCTTCAACCTTTTAAATTATATTTTTATTTTTTACTTTATTGTTGTTGTTGCTGTTGACTCTATTACAGATTTTTGAGAAAGGAGCAGGCAACTGTGTCAGGGTTGAGCTCCCATTTGACATTGTTCTTCATCCCCACCTGCAGTGACAGCTTCTCAGAAATTTCACTGCCACCTCACCTGCCTTGGTCTGGATCTTTTCTCATTTTCCCTTTCATCTTCGCAGTTTCTCCTCTTCAAACGGCTTCTTGTTCCCAGCGGGTGCATGTACAGCCAGTCTCGGAGGAAGGAGTCATATGGCCCAGATTTCTTCACTGAAACCAGGTCTCCCAGACTCCAAGCTCCTCTACCGACGGCGTGAGGATGGGCTCCAGGGTGTCTTTGGGCCAGTGTTTCATGTCCCCCACCAGCTGGTAGACACAGAGTCGCCAGCGCAGGCTCTGCTTCCGGCCATCCCGGCCGGTGGCACCTTCCCCTTTGCTCCACGATGACCTTGCCCTGGCGGCCGGCCGGAGAGTGAGGGCGAGCCTGACCTTGAAAGAGTTTTATAGAATCTCTCCCTGTTCTCGGTTGTTTGTTATGTTGCAAGAATGTGACTCAACAGCGTCCACACCCCAGTGACTCACAGCCCAGCTTTAATGAGCTGTGTTTTCCAGGCCTTCCTGGGGCAGCGCCTCCTCTAATGTCCAGGGGCTGCCCGGGCCAGGGCACTGCCCTGCTCGAGCCAGGATGGGAGTGAAAACGCCCCCACAGGCAGGCCCAGGGAAAGGCAAGGTGAATTCTGGGGTGTTCCACTCCGGAACAGTGCAATCTCTTGGCCCTTCCCAGGCCCAGCCTGGGAGGTGAAAGCTAAATGTCAGGAGGAACCTACACAGTGGGATCGATTTGAAGGCATCTGGCAGGGTGATTTCTTCTTTGAGATAAAGACAGTTACTAGGGGTTTCGTGGAGAAGTCTGTTTACTTTTTTAAAAAAATTGATTTCAGAGAGGAAGGAAGAGGGAGAGAGATAAAAACACCAATGATGAGAGTGAATCTTTGATTGGCTGCCTCCTGCACGCCTCAAACCTGCAACCAGCATGTGCCCTGACCAGGAAACGAACCATGATCTCCTGGTTCATAGGTTGATGCTCAACTACTGAGCCATGCCAGCCTGGTGAAACCTGTTTACTTTTAATTAATTGGGTCTTTGATTTGTGGGGCATTCAGTTTGCTGGGGAAAAAACGATCTGGCTATTAAGCTTCTGGGCGCAAGGTGGAGAAAATCATACAATTAGCAATTCAGAGATTTTCAGAATCTCTGGCCACATCAAAAGATGGGACAGGGAAAGAGATCACTGGGCACTAGAGCTGTGGCAACGGCCGGGCCCTGGATAATGACCACAGAGAGACAGTAGTGGATTGTGTTTGCTTGTGAATGTGTGCTTCTCTTTGGGGAGGAATTGCTTAGGGAAATGGTATATATATATATTTACATTTTTATTTATTGATTCTAGAGACAGAGGGGAAAGGGAGGTGGGGAGAGAGAGCGCATTCATTTTGTTGTTCCACTTACTTGTATATTCATTAGTTGATTCTTATATGTGCTCTGACCAGGGGTTGAAACCGCAGCCTGGCTAGCGGGCCAGGGCCTAGAGAAACAGTGTTTTTAATTGTACTCCAACTAAATGAGAAAACTTTGATTTTACCTTAAACTCTTTTAACCTTAAACTCTTACCAGATTAAACAAGAAATCAGCCCTCCTTAAAAAAATGCAAACACATTTCTATTTTTTTTTCCCAACATATTCCATTGATTTTCCACAGAGAGGAAGAGAGAGGGATAGAGAGTTAGAAACATCGATGAGAGAGAAACATCGATCAGTTGCCTCCTGCACACTCCGCACTGGGGATGCGCCCGCAACCAAGGCACACGCCCCTGACAGGAATCGAACCTGGGACCCTCAGTCCTCAGGCCAACGCTCCATCCACTGAGCCAAACCGGCCAGGGCACATTTCTATTTCTTGATGGGCTGTAACAAAAACAAAAGACTTACACAATTATTAGTTTTATAAAAAGAGATGAAATCTGAGCACAATTCACACATTTACCAATGACTTCTCTGTTTGCTGCATGGTATCTATGAATCATCTGACACAAAGCTGCTATACACAAGGCCTCTCTGCTGGAAGAACATGATGGTCACTGTCAGGAACTGCACACCAATTTATGGATTATTCAGACAGAATTTTCATACCTGTTGCAGCCAACGAAGCCGACCCCGCAGGGTGACTGCCCGTCGCCTCCCGCAGGCTCTGGAACGGCCACACTCTGGGCCGGCTCCCGCCCCAACAGGAAGCACAGGCCTCCTGGCTGCGGTGTTGGTTGCCTGGCTACTGACCACAGCTGCAGGTTTATTTGCTTGTTTTGTTTTAGGAAGGATCTTTTTATTTTGATACAATTTTCATTTTACAGAAAAATTACAAGAATAGTACAAACTTTGACCCATTTGTTTGCATTTTTGCCTTTCTTTCTCTCTTTCTCTCCCTCTCTCTCCTCCTCTCTCTCTCCCATTTAACAGTAAGTTGATGTGGTGGCCCTTTACCCATAAATACTCCAGAGAGCATTTTCCAAAAGCTCCTTGAGAGAGGTGGCTGTACTCTGACATAACCACAATACAGTTAACACAAACAGGAAATTAAACATCAATATAATACCACTCTTTATTAGTGTGGGCAAAGGGTGGGGCAAAAGTAGGTTTATAGTTGTTCATATGGAAAATAATACAATAATTGATAAATAATAAAAAAAACTGTGGTACATTTACACCATGGAATATTATGCAGCTGTAAAAAAGAAGGATCTCTTACCTTTGAGACAGAAAGAGGGACCCTGGAGAGTATTATGCTAAGTGAAATAAGCCCATCAGAGAAAGATGAGTATCACATGATCTCACTCATATGTGGAATCTAATGAACAAAATAAACTGATGAACAAAATAGATCCAGAGACATAGAAGCATGGGACAGACTGACAAATCTCAAGAGAAAGGCAGCGGTGAAGGGCTGGGTAGGGAAAGGTTAACTGATTAACCGGGGAATTTATACGCATGTATGCATAGCCCATGGACACAGACAATAGTGTGGTGAAGGCCTGGGAGGGGTGGGTGTGGGGAGAATGAGGTCATTGGGAAAAGGGGGCGGGCATCTGTAATACTTTCACAAAAGATAAATTAAATAAACAAACACATAAATAATACAAGCATAAACTGTTTTGTGTACTCATAACTGTAAACCTACTTTTGCCCCACCCTGTATTTCATTAATTGCCCAAAATGTCCTTCTCCCTCCCATGCCCCACCCCTTCTCCTGATCATGCACAGCATTTAGTTGTCAGACCTATTTATTTTCCTTTATTCTGGAGCATCTCTTCAGCCTTTCTTTGCCTTTCTCAACCCCGACATTTTAAGAGTACAGCTCTTTTGTAAAATGTCTTTTAATTTGGGGTTGCCTCACAGTTCCTCATGATTAGATTCAGATGATGCATTTTTGGTAGGAATATCACAGAATTGAGGGTGTATCTTTCTTCAAGCATCCCAACAAAAGGCACATGGTATTCAATATTGGTTTAAACCAGTACAGTGATGTTAGATTTGATGAGTTGATTAAGTGGTATCTACTACTGTGAAGTTATTTCTTTCTTTTGAAATTAATAAGTATTTTGTGAGAGCATACCTTATACCTCTCTAATTATCTATTTCTTATCAAACTACCCATCAGTATTATTATTTTATTTTATTTTGTTAATCCTCTCCTGAGGACACTTTTCCATTGATTTTTAGGGAGAGTGGAAGAGAGAAAGACAGAGAGAAACATCAATGTGAGTTTGCCTCCTGCACAAGCCCCAACCAGGGCTCCGGCCGGGGAAGAGCCTGCAACCAAGGTATGTCGCCTTGACTGGAATCAAACCTGGGACCCTTTGGTCCGCAGGCCGATGCTCTATCCACTGAGCCAAATGGCTAGGACCCCATCAGTTTTAGCATCCATTAATGACTTTACCCCTGTCCCTCCTTTTATATTTATTAGTTGGCATTCTACTGTAATGAGAGGTTTCCTTTCACCTCTTTTATTTGTTTATATTAACATGGATTCTTATTTATTCAATGGGGTCTAATCCATTACAAATATTACTTATTCTGATAATCAAATTGTCTTCAATTTGGCCAGTGGGAGTCTCTTCAAGTTGGCTTCTGAGATTTTTTTCAACATATTCCCATGATTCTTTAAACACTTTTTTTTTTTTTTGCATAAAACAAAATGTGCCAAGTTCATCCTCTATTTTCCATGGCATGACCCTGGGATATATAATTTCTCAATGGTTGCTGGTTCCTTTAGAGGGGAATGGTATTTAGAAACCAAGATCTGAGTACTAAATGTGCTCATTCCTACTGGTGTGTTATTGCTTCTAGGCACTCTTCACAGACAGAATTAGGTAATAGGTAATATTATATACACAAATACACAGAGAAGTAGATAAATGTATATATGTACATATATATGTGTGTATATATAATATATTTGTATATTTGGAGAGAGAGATATTAAGATTAGACAAAGATATATAGTCATACTGATAATTGCAACTCCAATGCAAAAATACCCCTTCTGCCTTTATAACTTCTTTTGCACAGTGAGAAATCCAGCTTCCATTAGCCTCCAACTCAATAATACACAGATTGTAGTTTCAGAATTGCTAATTCATAGCATTGTTAAAAGCAGACCTGTGAGAGTTCAATTTGTTTATAATTTTTTTAAATATATTTTTTATTGATTTTTTACAGAGAGGAAGGGAGAGGGACAGAGAAGTTAGAAACATCGATGAGAGAGAAACATCGATCAGCTGCCTCCTGCACACCCCCCACTGGGGATGTGCCTGCAACCAAGGTATATGCCCTTGACTGGAATCGAACCTGGGACTCTTCAGTCCACAGGCCAACACTCTATCCACCAAGCCAAACCGGTCAGGGCTTGTTTATAATTTTTAAGGTAAAATTTACAAACATTGAAATGCACAAAACCTACATATACAATTCAATGACTTTTGAAAAATGGGTACACCCACACTTCTTTCAAAATACAAGATAGTCATCTTGTAATCAAAATCCAGGTTCGGCTGCCTGCCATCACGAAAGCCAAACTCGTGAGACAGGTGCTGGTGAAAAAGGAAAGAGATTTATTCAAATGTCAGCCACCTGAGAAGATGGGGGACTCTTGTCCAAAGGCCATCTCAACATCTCAGTTCAGGGAGAGGTTTTTATGAGGAGGGAGAGGGAAAGCAGAACAAATAGAACAAGAGGAGGAGGTTGTAAAGTTCTCTACATGCAGACTAGCACAGTCTATTCCAATGAGTGAAAGATCAGACAGAGGCCGAAAACCAGGACTACAGGCTTTATTAGAGGAGAAGGACCTGCCGGGCTGTCTCGCAAGGGGAGGACAGCAGCACGTGCAGGGGTGAGCACGCCTTTTGAGGGGTGGAATGGGAAGGGGTAGGGGCTTAGTGTGTACTCGGCGCACACTGATTTGTGGCTTACTGCATTGTCCATATAGGACAAGGGCTTAGGGTATTTGGCAGGTGTGGATTGGTAGTCCAACGTATAGTGCATATAAAGTACATGGTTAATCACTCAGGTATTTCCGGGCTGCAGGTTACATCATATTCCGCCCACCAGTTGGGGGAAGGGAGGATCTATCAATAAAGATCTCAAAACTGGTCAAATGATGGTCTGGTGTATGTCAGCTGGTCTTTGTCATCCTGGTTCTATGGCATCCTGGTTCTATGGTTGAAGGTCAGCAAATCTCCCGGAACTGGGATGATTGCTGGTCAGAGTCTATATCTTAGGAAGTTAGTTTCCAGGATTCTTGTACAAACATGCTGTTTATCTACAAGCTACACATTAGTCAGAGTCAGCATTTACAGAAACGTCA